ATAAGAAACAAAATTACCCAAGTAAAATTCAAAGCATCAGAAACATACAGCATAAATGTCATAACTTGAGATTTCATTTTTAAATCGTTCAGTACTTTTTCTATACTTTATTTTAGATAATTGAATTAGTTGTACAATTTAGAAGCAATTTTTGCAAATTTTAAAAGGTACTTGCATATTTTTCTGTTGACTATAAAAGCTGGCAGAGATCTTGCTAGATTTGTGCAAATCATTCTATTAAATGTTTGTCTTAATTTTTCAACCCCATTATTATTTTTTTTATGAAGTGCCATATAATGCTATTAACATGCACTTTATTTGATGCTAGGATCCTGTAACTTCAAAAGTACTCAACTGATTATCTATCTTAGGAAGCTGGTCGTAAGGTCATTTTCAAAAGCAAGCTATAAAAAAAATTTTTTGAATTGCATAGCAGAATCTTTTTTTTTTTTTTTTTAATTCTAAAAATTTCAATTACAAAATATGCATTATCTTTTATTGATGCATTGTTGATGTCTTTTTTTATCATATGGTATGCGAATGCTAATTTTTTAGCCTGCCTTCATGATGCAACTGTCAGCATGCTCAACACGTATTTGATGAGAGGTCTAGGGTTCGGGTCCTGGCGAGGGCATTGTTCATTTTTCATGTCTCCCGCTTCGAAATAACATAATGCCTCTACAATGGATGCATATTAACGATGGTTTAAAGTCTACTCTTCTTTATAGAACTAAACTAATTGATTGAGAATTAATCCAAATTACATAAACCATGGTGACCATCTTATGAGAGTGTCTTAACATTACTTATCTTTAATTAGTGAAATATTGAATAGTTTGGGACAGTTTCATTTAACCCTTTGCGGCGCACTATACGTTAACATCAGAATTTCAACAAAAAAAGTTGTATGCAGTCTATTTAGTCCTAAAGGAGTATACAGGTAAAATTTTGTAAAAATTGCACTTACCGTTTTAATTCTGTGGGTGTTTCATGAGGTGGAACACTGCGCCGCCAGAGCTTTTAAAAGTGCGACTAAGCGAGCATTGCAGTGAAGCACGAAAATAAGTAGAAGCGTTTGTATAAGAATGAAAAAACTGTGTGTTATGGCTGTATACATGGTTTCCTGGATATACACAATATTCTTGAATATATACGGATGAATGAGATAAATATCTATATACACAAGTCCTATATACAGAAATATTTACAAATTTTCCTATTTCTTAGCTTCGTGAAACCTTTTTGATGGAAGTACAAACCAACTACGGTTAAAATAATTAACTACGATTAATATTAACAATAAAGAAAAATAAGCCTATAATATATACTTACACAAAAAATATCTACACAATTATTGAAAATAAACGGGAATGAGACTAAAAAGCGACAGCAAGAAATTCGCGCAGGTCTAAGTAAAGATGAGTCAAGCTACTAATAAAATTCCCGCCTAAAAACTACTCCCAAAAAAATTCGAGATGCCAATATTAGGACTTACATAACACAAACCAAAACACACCTCACCCCTCAATAACTGTTTTGTTGAATTCATCCCCCAAACAAAACAAGGAAAAGAAAACGTAAACAACGGATGTTCTCTCCTAAGCACAGCATGTTCTGATTCGTAACAGCATGAGATCGCTAAAAGGTGCAGTGTTCCCGCTAATGGAACACCCCGGTTTTATTCAATGATTCTGCGTATGGTTTTTTTTTTTGTATGAAAATTAAAAAAAAATATAGAACAAATAATTTGGATACAGCCAGCAAAAATTCTGCCTAATTTTTTTTGAAATAAAATTTTTTATATCATTAAAAAATATAGAGAAATTACTTGAAAAAAAGTGGATTTTAATAACAACATAATAAATGAAAATTCTGTGTCTCCTTGTGATATGCTGCTATCTACTGTTTAAAAAAGAAAAGTTCAAAGTATATTATAAAGGCATTTTTATCTATTTACGGTTGAATTTAAAGGTTTCAGAAGCGATTAAATTTGGGTGTTCTATGTAGTGGAACACTGAGCCACAAAGGGTTAATGAAAATGGTGAATGGGAAAATACAGTATTTTTTAAATAATTTGTCAATTTCAATCAATAATCAATATTTATTATTATTTTTTTTAATTTGTGTTCTTTCTCAAGAATTTTTGACTAGAATCATGGATTTCAAAATTTCTTGAAAATTAGGACTTGAATTTAAAATTAAAAAAATCACGAATTTGGTATTCTCTAATTATGCAAATCCCCACCAAAGGTTGTTAATTCATTGAGAACTCTGTAAACTGATGAAAAATGTGAGTTTGACCATCTTCATGACTCAGAGGTACTATTTTGTTCATAAATAGTACCTCTGCATAATAAAAATAAGCATCTCAAAAGGAAATAAATGTATATAGTGAAAACAAAGATTTATATGCAGGGCCAGATTAAAGACTTTCAGAGGCTCTAAGCACACTAAAAAGATTATGGTGCCCTCACGTAAATTTATGTCATTTTTTTCTCAAGAAGTTCTGTCTAGGTCCTTGGTCCATACATTCCATGGTAAAACTAAATCCAAGAAATTTCTGTGGGAGTTCCTTTCTGAGTTCCTTTTTGTAGTGTCTCTTTTCCTTGATGCATCTCTTATTTTACTTAATGGTTAATCCAACAGTCTCTGCATGGCAAGATCATTTACATATTTACAGCCTGTAATTACTGATCAGTGAAATGAGGATGATGTAAACCATTTGTAACATACAGTGGCTCCAAAAAATTTTCGTACTCTTATGATTTTCATTCAAATAGGGCTTTAGCCATTAATTAAAAGTAAACTTTCTGAATTAGATTTTAATAGTAAGATCTCTAATCTATTCGTAACAAAATTACATGAAATATTTTTTAAATATAACGAAACTTTATTTTTAAGAAATTAATTAAAAAAAATTATAAACATTGTATCTCACAAAAGTCTTCGTACACGGAAATATTTTTGGATAAAATCAAAATTAGAATTATCGTTTGCCACCTTTTTTAATTTTGCATGTGGTAGCATTTAAAAAATTCATTTGCTTTAATTTTTTATTGTTTACTCTTTATAATATGTATTTATTATTGAAAAATGGGTCGCAGTTGTAAAGAAATTACAAACAGCATTCAAAAATTGATAATTTTTCACCATAGTAGCAATAAATCGATTCAAAATATCGCTAAATTAGTTAATTTATCCCATTCTACAGTGCAGTGTATGATAAAACACTTTAAAGCAGAAAATCCGATGTGACACAAGGTTAGAAAAGGTCGACCGAGAAAGTTAACTAAACATGATGAGAGATTTATTATTAGAAAATTTGTGAAAAACCCACGTTTGAGCACTGGAAAAGTTTCTGCAGAATTTAATGCAAAGTCTTCTACTTCAATTTCCACTGTTCCACACTCCACTGTTCGACGAGTTCTCAGAGAAGCTGGATTACATGGGTGTTCTGCCCGTAAAAAAAATTTTGTTAGGGAGAAAAACAGAAAGCTTAGGCTTTCATTCGCAAAATCAATGATAGATACACCCAAAACATACTGGAATAATGTCGTATTTGCTGATGAAAGCAAATTTAACATTTTTTGTTCCGATGGTCAAATAACTGTATGGAGAAGAAAAAATGAGGAACTTCATTCTAAGAACTTAGTTGGAACAGTTAAGCATGGCGGTGGAGGTGTTCTTTGTGTGTGTGTGTGGGGGGGTGGCATGACAGCATCAGGACACCCGAAACATACTGGAATAATGTCCTATTTGCTCATGAAAGCAAAATTAACATTTTTGGTTGCGATGGTCAAATAACTGTATGGAGAAGAAAAAATGAGGAAATTCATTTTAAGAACTTAGTTGGAACAGTTAAGAATGGCGGGGGAGGTTCCTTGTGTGTGTTTGTGGGGGGGCATGAAACACAGGACTAGGTAATTTTGGTATTTATTGATGGCATATTAATCATTCTCTTTATTTAAATATTTTAAGAGACAATTTAAAATTATCAGCCTAAAATTTGGGTATTGGAAACAACTTTATTTTTAATCATGATAACGATCCTAAGTATACGACTCTCAACGTTCGCCTGTAGTATCTCTATAATTGTCCACAGGTTTTGAAAACGCCACCTCAGTCGCCAGATTTAAATGCCATAGAACACATTTGGAAAGAGTTAAAGTACGAAAACACGACATCAAAACGAAAAGCGAATTCAAAACAGCCATAATGAAAGAATGGGTGAACATTGATACAGAAATTTAAAAAAAAAAAAAAAAAACTTGTAAAGTCTATTCCCAGACGTTTAAAAGCTATTATGAATGCTAAAGGATGCTACTAATATTAATTTAATGAAAAATGAAAATATTTACTAATATGTCAGATTTTTGAAGTGTACGAAACTTTTGTGAGATTAAATGTTTGTCATTTTTTTATTATTATTTTAGATAAAGTTTCGCTATATTTTTAAAAATTTCATGTAATTTTGTTACGAATGGATTATAGATCTTATTATTAAAATCTCGTTCAGAAAGTTTACTTTTAATTAATGGATAGAGCCCTTTTTCAATGAAAATCATAAGTGTACAAACACCTTTGGGAGCCACTGTATGCATACAAGGCTAGGTATGTAGACCCATAAAATATGCCATAAACACGACAGTTCTACCCAATGTTGAACCCAGGAGTGTAGATATTTATAAAGTATCTTGAGTTTTCTAATTTCAGGATATTTGTTATAACTGCTTTTATTTATGATGCTAGTTTGATTCTAAACTTGTTCCCTACATTATGATGGAGAGACCTGTGTTTGTATGTCTTCTGACGTATTACCAAATAATTAATCATTTTTACTTGTTTTGATTTTTTACTTTTGGAAATGTTTTAATGTTATTTAATAGTATGTGTCATTATTTTAATGTACTTGTGCGATTATCATAATCCTTATTCATTTAATTAATATTTAAATATAATTATATATTTAATGTGCAAATGTGTGTTTAATTCTCTTCTAGCACTGGGAGGTTTTTAGAGTTGTATCAGAAATTTTTATCCTTGTTCCTGCCCTTCTGGGTCTTAAAGGAAATTTAGAAATGACTCTAGCATCTAGGTTATCTACTCAGGTAAAGCTTTGGTGTGCTTTTAGACTATGCTGTTAACATTACTTTATACTTTTTTTCATTGGTTTCATCATTAAATTTTAACATCCCTTCTACAAAATAATAAAGTGGTAATTTTTTCAAAGTAACTTTTTTTTTTTTTTTAAATCTTATGTTTAAAATTGGAAATAAAATATATTTTATTACAGTTTCTCATTGTGTAATTTTTGAAAATATGCAAGTGATTCAAAGTTAGAATAATGATGCTGAGGAATTTAGAGTAAAAGACTAATTTACTTTTCTCTTAATTATTACCTAAGTTTACTGATGAATAAGAAAACATGATCTCAGACTTAACAGTTGTTAGAGTTTATTAGAATTAGTTAATGTTATTATTTTCTCATTGCAGGCTAATTTAGGTCACATGGACACATCTAAAGAACGGTGGAAATTAGCAACAGGAAATATGGCTCTAATTCAGGTAAAGAAGCTTGCTTTAAACTCCAGAAAGCAAACAATTTCTTTAAACGAAGTATTTTGTTTCAGTAATTTATATGCTGTTCTGTATTATGTGATTTATTTAATGCATATTTATAGTCCATCTCTTAATAATTTTCTATAAAAATTTTACTTTTTTATTATCTGATACTTTTTATGGCTTTAATTTTTACATTTAGTGTCAAGCTATTGTTGTTGGCTTTCTGGCTTCCGTTTTTGCTATGATAATGGGTTGGATACCTGAAGGCCGTTTTAACATGGGACATGCATTGCTTTTATGTGCCTCCAGTTTAGTAACAGCTTCACTTGCCAGTTTTATTTTAGGTGAGCTTCTAGGAATTTAATCTAACATTTAACAATGTTATTCTATTAATGCATCTGTTCATATTTTATTTTATATTAAATTTAAGCTATGTAAAATTAATGTTCAATATTATTGAAAAGAGCTGTTACAAATTTATAAAATGTACCTTTTATTCTATATAATTGTCATAATAAAATACTACAGCTATTGTAGTATATTTATATAGTCCATCTCTTAATAATTTTCTTCATTGTTTCTATAAAAATTTTACTTTTTTATTATCTGATATTTTTTATGGCTTTAATTTTTACATTTAGTGTCAAGCTATTGTTGTTGGCTTCCTGACTTCCCTTTTTGCTATGATAATGGGTTGGTTACCTGAAGGGCATTTTAACATGGGACATGCATAAGAAATATTTTTGAATTTTAAGATTCAGTTTATAAATTATCTTCAACTTACAAAATTATTCTCTCATGATTTTGCAATTAATAATTTAATCATATTTGTCTTCTGTTAGATAAAGAATGTGACTATTGAAAATACTTGGTTCCTTAGTTTACTGCCTAATATTAAAAAAATCATAAAATTTAAAGATAATTTAGAGGTGTAAATGTGTTTTAATTATAATTTTAAAAATGCTCTGAAATAAATGTATGTGTCTATTATTTTTTTTCCTTCCAGTCAGTATCTGGCTGTTTTTAAGCAGACAAAATTTGCAACTAATTTATTTTCCTTTTACTTTGAACTGTAATAGAATTTTGCATAGTTTTCTTTTATACTTTTTACTCTTGCAAAGGAGATTTGTATGTTTTATTCTATCAAACAACACTAATTTTCCAGCAGAAAATTGGGTAATCATGTAGTATGCTATCTACTTCTTTTAGTTAGCTATTTATTTTTTAGATGGTGGCACTAAAGTTTGTTGTTTTAATCATTTCTTTTCTCCAGCATTTAATTACGTGTTTGAATTTTAAAATGAATTTATTGTTTATTAATTTTAAAATAAAATTTTTATTTATTTATCTATTGTATAAGATGCATGCTTTCCTTGAATATCACTAGCTGTTTTGCAAATTCATTCTACTTTCAGCTGCATGATTATGTAATTGACAATTTACTGAGTGAAAATTTAAGCTCATTTTCATCAGACTAAATAATGAGTATCATACTGCTCCCCCCCCAAAAAAAAGCATTTTATAGCATTTCATTGTGTTAGGCAGATCTCTTATTATTGTTATTTTCCCCCCTTATATTAAGGTAATTAGCTTGATAATATTTATTTTAGAGGTTAAAGAAAAACTTAACATTTAAATCATAAATGCAGGAAACTAAATAAATTGCAGTCATTGTGATGGGAATTTAATAGAAAAGTGGTTGCAAACTTTTCCCTGGCCCTTTATTTGTGTGTGATTTTCCCTGTGTATTTTATAGATATTTCTGTTCTTGTATTATGCAATAAAAACATATGCAGGTTTTGAAGTATTATTCAATAGTTCTCAATGTATTTAAGCTTATGTACATAAGCGGTGTATTATATTCACCAAATAAAATGTATATTAATACTCTAATTATCTTTTGTAATAAAATTATAATATGTGCATTAAATAAAATAATCATTGTGTATATAGAAGAGTAAATATAAAAATGTTTTTAAGAAACATTTTATATCTTGTTTAAAATATTTGCTTTTCTCAATGGTTTAGTTAATTATAACTTTTTTGATAGTTTATCCCTGTATTCTATTTTCTGGTAACTTTTTCATACTGTTGATGTTAGATTTCTTATTTAACAATAAATTTACTGCCACGTAACTCCTATTATAATTCCTGTATTTCAAAGTAAAATTAAAAAAGCAAATAAAAACTAAGAAATGCAATTTGAAGTCTACATAAAATTCAATTTACAAAGTCATAATTTTTAAGTAATATTTAAAAGCTCTTGAAAAATTCATTAAAATTCTAAAAATGTTTTGAAAGAACTTGAAATACTAGAAGGAAAAGCGACAATTGGAAAAATTGCTTAACAATAGTAGTAGACTTTACTAATAGTAGCAAAGTCGCTACTATTAGCTTTGCTAATAATAATTGCTGCTTTTGTAAATTGGATTTTATGTAGATTTCAAATTATATTTCTTAGTTTTTATTGGCTTTCTTAATTTTACTTTGAAATATAAAATATTCTTAATTTTACTTTGAAATATAGGAATTATAGTAGGAGGACACTAAATATAAATGACACTTATAATAATCGTAAGAATACACTTATAATAATCTTAAGAATACACTAAATATAAATGACACTTATAATAATCTTAAGAATGCTTTATGCTTACGATTATGTTTAATTACGAGTAAATCACTGCAGCCTAAGTGCAGGATTCTTAATATGCCTTCCTTACATTTGTTTATGCTGTTTATATATATATATATTAAATTGTATAATTATTCTGATTTTGAAGATTCAGTTTGAGTAGTTTTCATTTATTATAAGTGTCATTTAAAAGTATTTTTGAACCCCCTTTTCATTGTTATAGTCTGTTACTTTAAAATAGCCCTTTCAAGGTCATTTAAGGTCTCTCACTACATTTTGCTTATAATGAGCATCGTCATCACCTCACACAGGGAATTAGGGATTTTAGCAAATTATAGTATTCTACTTTTTTCCACAGCTGCCATTGCATGGTTGAGAGGAGCAAAGAATAGGCACGAGGTGCCTGTTGTAAAGTAACCTATTGTGGTAAAATCCATTTATGGAGGAATAGATATTGTTCACAATGTTGATACTAGATTGAATCATCATTTAACAATTTGTGCAGTAACAAAGGGAAAAAACCTGCAAATGCATGATACATTATTATTATCATCTTCATTATTATTCATCTTCCGTTCGACATTGCCAGCAGCAGTCCTCAGACTTGATCTGCCTTTATACTGGTGATGATTAAAACAACAAAATTTTGCAAATAAAGGAGTTTCAATCAATTCAGTTGTGTTCCAATAATCACTTATCGAATTTGTTTCTAATTGTGTGCATAGGAATATCACTGCTAAAAAAGGATACATTTTTAAGGATGTAGCATCCTTTCACTCAACAAGATGTGATCTTTTTTTATCTGCAGAACTCTCCTTTGTGCACTTTTTGTTTTGAGCAGCATAATGATTACTTTACTATTTCGTTCATCAGCTTCTGGGTGAAGAGATGTTTAAATAATCAAATTCATTCCTGTTGTAGAATTCCGGGTTTAGTCCTGATATTCTAGTAAAATCATGTATGATTATTTTTTCTGCAGCTGTGAAATTATTGCATTGTTGTTATGTGAAAATTATTTCGCATAATTTGCAGTTGAACATGATAAGCCAATTTGGTCAGATATACATTTTGAACGTCTGACATTTTTGTGTCATATCTTTTGTTGGCGCTGAACATTGAAGTTCCCCAAGATTTCCTATACCCATGGAAACAGGAAACTGTTGTTCTCTGTCACTGCATAAACTTTCTTTATAGCAATCAAAATTGCTGCCCACAAATGTTCTATAGAGCTTATCCCATTGTGCAATGATATCCAAAATTTCCTCTTTTGTTAAAATGTCTTTTACATTTACCATTATTTAAAACTGAAATGTGATTACAAAAACAAAAATCTGATAAATATACCAACTGAAAAAGTTAATAACAATATTTGCAGCTGTCATAAAGTAAAATTGAAGGAAGATCTTAATAAGTAAATATGTAAGAACGAAGTAATACATTATTTTTTCCCTCAACAAAATGTTTCCTAAAAAAATTTAAATTCGTATCCATTCCATGTAGGTTCCAAATATTGATAATTTCTGCTTCCCATTAATCAGGTCTAACAAAAGAATGCACTGTCGAATAGTGTCTTAAAATAGTCCTCAGGTGCTGGAATTCCTACCCTTGTGACCAATGAGAAACTGTTCCAAGTCGTTAGTGGACATACACATCGCTTGGGACATATATGTCGCATACCCTGAAAAATGTTAATGGATTTAGTATTTAAGACTGCAGATTATATGAAGTTTATACAATGCATTTATCGGGAGTAACTTTATTCTGAAGACAGTATAAGTTTGGGAAGTTATTACTTGTCATATACTTAACTTTTATGGTTTATTTCTTAGGTTGTATTATGGTTGGAGTTGTTATATTCTCGAGGAAGTGCCAAATTAATCCTGATAATGTTGCAACTCCCATTGCTGCATCTCTGGGTGATTTAACTACTCTGTCCCTTCTTGCTGGTATAAGTTATCTTCTGTATGGCAAATTAGGTAAAATTTTCATTTCTTTCACATAATTGCATTAATAAAAAACTAAAGTAATCATATTTTAAATATATTAGTGATTTCAGGAATAATTCCAGGAATCTATTAAAATGCTTATTTTAAGTTTTGCTTGTATATGAATAAATATAACCAGAGATTATAGGCTTTGTTTTTCTTAAATGTTTTATTTCTGTTAGAAAATTCATCTGATATTTCTGAAGTACTGTTTTGTGAGAAATGAAAGCAATGTAAGTAAAATGTTTGGTTGGGCATAACAAAACAGAAGTACCTTTCTATCAGCTGAAAATCTGGACAACTGAGAATAAATAATATTTTATGAAGGTTTTTGTAGAGCTTCAGGATGAGTTTCAGCTTATTTGCATGTTTTCATTTATGTACTATATGCAGTTAAATCCCAGTTAATTCAACTTTGTGTACTAAAATCTCGCTTGATAAAAGTAATAGAAATATATAACAGTAAATCAAAAAGTCTGAAAATGTTTCATTTTAAGCCTTTTAAAGTTGGTGTTTCGACAAAAGGAAATGGTAAGACAGTCTAATCAGACCTAGAGGAATACATTGGTAAAATTTTGTGAAGATAGTGCTTGCTGTTTTAATTCTGTGGGTGTGCCTGAAGCGGGCTCAATGAATAGAGCTTTGAAAAGACAGCTGAAGTGAGCATTGTTGAGAAACACGTAATAGAGTTTTGCCTTTGATTAAAAAACACTAGATTTTGATTACCGTGGGTGCACTACGGGGAAGTCTGCTACTCTACACCCCCAAAAACCTCTTCTTGGTTATATGATGATTATATGCATATAAATGAAAAATGGTAACTTAGCTATATGATATTTACATTATTTACATTTCATATTTACATTTTCATCTATTTTTTTTCACGGTGGTACTTTTAAAAGTAAGTGACACCGCCTTTGAAAAAGCACAGCCCAACATTGCATGCTTTGCACATGTACCAGGATCCGTATCGAATTCACTGTGTGAAGGCAATTCATTTTGCACTATCAGTGCTTCAGAAATGGTCAGCCCTCTCCATTCCATTTGCAAAATAATTCAAAATCAGAAAAAAAAAGAACTAATATTGTATCTACAATTAAGAAAATATAAACTATGAAATAAAATTAAATAAACATTTATAACTCAAAACTATCAAAACGTAGAGCTAACAAAACTTCTTTCAATGAAAGCAAAAGAAGGAAAGAGAACTGCTCTAGTGAAAAATCAAGGACCTAAGTGATAAAATTACCCCTGACCATCAGAAAACACCCCAACAATTTCTTAGTTGATAACCAATCCCCCCCCCCAGAAAAAAAAAGAAGAAGATAAAAGGGGAAAAAAAAAAAGAAAAAAGAAAACAGGAAATGAAACACAGATGTACACCCACTTTTTTATTGTGAGTGAGCTCACCTATGTAAATACTGCAGTGAAACAAAGATACAGTTGTTTGTCTGGTCGTGGTGTTTTAGTGTTCCACTCTGAGCATACAAGATGTTTGTCGTTCAATTTTAGGCAAGTTTTCAAGGTAAAAATTTAAAATTAATGTAGAATAAAGTGAGCATACAGCCAAGAAAATAACATAAAAATTTCTTTTCAAACAATTCTAAGTAAAGTAAACTTAAAAGTAACGTATAAAGCCTTTTCCATTCAATTTTTCTGTGTGTACAGAGGCAATTTTTTTAGTGTGCGGAGAGTGGACATATGTGCCAAAGAGTGTTAAATCAATTTTTTATCACTGGAAATCTGAAGGTTTACAAGGAAATCTCTGTTCATCTGACAAATTTCTAATTTAGGAATTCTTGAATCTCAAGATAGTAAATAGTTCAATTTAATATTGCATAATCAGTACTAATGTGTGTTCATGTGGTATTATGAGGTTTTTATACAAATCATTAGTATATATTTTTAAGCTGACATGCATGTAAATTACAATACTACTAATTTTCATTATGCAGTTTTCAATATCTTTGTGTATGGGGAATTGATCTGACTGATTAAATATAATAATTAAACTAAAAGTAAAAATTTAATACATTTTCATCTGCATATGTGTATATATCCTGATATTTATGTGTTATAATTAAAAACTTTGAAAAGGACATTTTTATATTATGTAAATAACATAATACTTCAAAATAATGAGTGTAAAAAAATGGGCCATTTCTATTTTCAGTATGAAGAAGTGATCATAGTGATTTCTGTATGAAGAAGTTTTCTGAAATTACTCTGCCCTGTTTTAAATAAATGTAGTGCATAATATTTTATATTTCTTTTATTTTAATAACTGAAGTGAAAAAAAATTTAAATTTTAGTCTTTTGTTCTGCTACAGAAATATGGATAGAAACAATACAAATTTAACTTGAACCTTCATAATTGTAAATGCATATGAGGATTATAAATGTAAAATATCTATGTCAAAATTGCATTAAAATGTCTTGAATCTGATTGCAAAAGTGCTTGTACAATGATATGTATACATGAAAAAAAAAATCTCCCTGTTATACATTATTTTATTTTATGTGGCTAACATTAAAATACATTATTATTTTATCCTTTATATGAAGACTGTATTTTATTTGTGTTACTTTTATAAAAACATGTTGAATTGCATTCCTTGTATATTCCTTGTATCTATTTATGTTTATTATTTATTGTATTATTTATATTTAATTCTTGATATTTTTTATTATTAATTATAAAATTCTAAAATTTTATTGTATTTTACATAACAACACAGTTGGTAGATGATTCCATCAGTTGAGCGTAAAAGCTGAATGTCTTAAAGGCGGTGCAGCTGCTCATCTGATGGTAAATAAGTAAATAAATAAATTCCTTGTATAAGAAATAATCATGCATTTACTTATCGATTCAATCTAAATCACTTTGTGCAAGTGCTAGTTTTGTATATTTACATATTCGTTTTGATTTTCATTCATTTCTAACTGTAATTTTATCATATCGCACCCAATCCTTCTGTGAATTTTTAGGATTGAGTTCATAAAAATTTCTCAGAATACCTTCTCCACTTCTAAAATTGTAAATCTCTGAGGATGTAGAATTTCTGGATGCCTTTGTGAAAGTTAACTGCTGGAAATGTACAGTTCTTCATTATTTGATCCCATCTCTGAATTTCTAAATACAGACCAGTGGTATTCTATAAAGCAAGATTTCACTAGGAACAGAAGGTGGCCTGTAGTTTATAATAAATGATGAAGATAGCAGCAGATAATAAATGATAAATAATAATTTATAAGTAATTAATTAAAAAAGTTTGTACATACAAATAATAGTAGCAGTAAGTATGTTAGTACATACTTATTGCTACTATTTGGCAGTTTTACTTGGATTAGTTGAAAAAGTTAAGACCTATATCTTTGTAAACACTCATGATATTTAGTGGAAATGAAGCATAATGAGCCCAAAATGCATGTCCTGGTTTGCTTTGTGGTAGGATATCCATGACATGAAAAATAAATCATATAATATATTAAGATAAAGAATACTATGACAGCTAATTAAATTTTTACTTCGTTAAAATTTAATAAATGAAAAAAGACAATATTAGTAATGTATTTGTTTTAAAAGGAGAAATTAATGGGAGAAGCAAATCAGATGTTGTGTACTGAAAGAAAGTAAAAATATTTGAATAATTACTATTTAATTCTCTCTTCTGATGTACTAAATTTTCGCCTCACAGAAACTTTCTGAAAGAAATTTTGTATGGTATCTCATTTATTATGATTTTGTAATTAGAGATATTATCTTATTATTTCCTATAATAATGTTTTATTAATCTGCCTTAACAAAACATTTCTGGTGTATTTATCTGCTATTTTTTATTTTACAGATTCTCCTGGTTTTGCAATAACAATAATATTATTTTTCCTATTACTCATACCTCTCTGGGTAGCTGTTGCTCGACGCAATAGATTCACTCGGGAAGTTTTACACTCAGGGTGGACGCCTGTTATTTCTGCAATGGCTATATCAAGGTATTTTTCCCCCATTTTTCTCATTTGTTACTTGTGATGCAGTATATAATCTATTGCTTTTAGTTAGTTAATTTTTATATGTTGCCACTGAAATTGGTTGACGTTTTACATCATGTTAGTCTATGTATGAAAGTTAAAACGCCAGTTTTGCATATGGTTCAAATTTCATGTCAATTGAGTCATGCTGGGGTATTTAGAAGCTAAAGATTCTACACAACATGGGGAGTACCACCTTGCTAAGTACCACCTCAGATTCTATGTTATCTTACAGAAGTATGGTGGAGATCTGTTATAAAAGTTATGACTGTTTTTTTGACCATGCTGATGACATTAATGATGTACAAAGTAGTCATAAAAAAACTTCCTTGATCTATGAAACCCTAGTGTCTATCTGCTGAACCAATCAAAATTAAATTTCAGATATTGTTATCTGAAGATATACGCTTGAGATTGTGATGATTTAAAAAATACCGAAGTTTTGAAGTGCAAATTGGTCATTGCATTGGAAAATCATATATGGTGACAGAACAATATACTTGATGAAAACCTCTGGCATAAAAAATTTGCAAAGAAGAGTATAGTAAAGGACCAATGACAATACAAGGAGAGGGAAGAAAACTTTTGTTGGAATTACTAGCTCCTTTGTATTATGTTATTACCCATTCGCAAACATTAACACTTTGCATGCAGGGGATTGTTGAAAGCAATGATGAACGTAACATCCCAGAAGGAATCTGTATAACTTTTTGTTTAATGGCATCTTTCAATTCTGACGAATCTCGCGAATTTAATGTGTACACCTCATATTTCAGATAACTCCAGAGCCAGAAAGTGAGGTTGGGGGATCACGATGGCCACAAAGCTGCGAAGTTATGGAAAATGTCC